TATTTATTCTTCCAATTGCTCAGGGCAGGACTTTGGATGTCGGGCCTTAAAAACTAACGCCACCTTAAGTGACATTACAAGCGGCGCCATTATGGGCCCACAAAGGCGTATTAACGTGACAGCCTAAGACGGCGCCGGGAGGGAGTAGGGTGGGAGTGTCTGTGGGAACCTTATTGGCCAAATACGCACTTCCGTGCTCGTGAACACTGCGTGATTGCAATAGCTACGCATTGAGACAGGATGCATGCTCTCATAACCTTTAAGCTGATTGGAGGATGTAAAAACCTCCCTTCCCCATTTGCCTTTAAAAGCAAGTGCTTGTGTGATAATAAATGGAACTGCTCGACAGAACCCCTGCCGCATCTGAGTGTCCTTTAATGGGCTGGTTGGGGCTGGCGGCTGTGCTCACCTCTCTTCACAGCTCTCTTCCCCCATCTTCCAACGGGGACCAGAGGGAAAGAGGAATCCAGGCAATTCACTCGCCCACCAAGGGAGAGACTGATAGTGAGGCTAAGGGTTGTTCAGGTAGGTCGGTGGCTGACCCAACATTTTGGCATATTTAAAAGTGGTTTGCCTTTTTTCTCTCACGGGGTGAGATCGTTTTTTACTATTAACTGTAGGAACCTGTTGAAGCTTTTGATGGTGAATTTCACAATACTGTGGATACATGCCTATGACCAGGTCCCCTGGAGTTTTAAGCCTCAGAGTTGTCTACACCAAGCCTCCATCAATTTATCAGTCACAATTTAAGTTTGCCTGCTCTTACACTGGTTCACGATGTGGTTTCCAGTAGAAAATCTCTACTCTTGTTAGCCACGACTGTGTATATTTGCCTCTCTGCTTTTCTAATCTTCAGAACATTAGTTTGCACTGTGTCCTTTTCTCTCTTCACCTTCTAAGAAAAGTTGTTGATTTTTCAGTCTCTTTAGTTTTATATTTATTGTTATAATGGAGTGATGATTTTCAAGCTTTTTTCTGCAGGAATAGAAACCTGGAATGCATTTCTAAAAGTTCCCTCTTAATGTCTATGTAGATAATAGAATTTTGCTTCGTACAACTATAAAAATGATCATTTATATTGGTAGACTTCTTAATACTGATTTTTCTTTTATTTATGGAATAAACTCAGAAAAAATTCTCTTGGTCTTCACAGTGTATTTCTCTTCTTCTATCTTTATACATTAATGTTTCTGCACATTCCATACTTTTTTAAAAAAAAATTAATGTTATAGATTCATTAACTTTGATGGCTACAGGTATCACTGAAATTCTGATATTTTACAAATCTTTATCTTCAGTTTAGATATCTCAAACACTCAAATTATGTATCTAATTGCCATTTGGACATTTTTACATTTTTTTTATTAGTTATGAATATTCATGGGATACAAAGCTGATTGTCACCCCTTGTGCCCAAGATGTGTAGGTTTTTTTTTTTTTTGTCCTTTTAGAGACTGGCTGCACCGCGCTCAGCCAGTGAGCGCTGTGAGCACACCAGTCATCCGTATATAGGATCCGAACCCGCGGCAGGAGTGCTGCTGTGCTCCCAGCGCCGCACTCTCCCAAGTGCGCCACGGGCTCGGCCTGTAGATATTTTAAATACAATATGTTCAAATCTGCATCATTTCTGCCATTATAGCTTTTCTCCCACTTTTCAAATTTCACTTTATAGTGCCAGTACCTAAGTAGCTGCAAACATGTAGATAGCCTGGTAATAGGCCTCTTATTTTTATTCTCTGCACTGCAAATTAGAATCACATTCTTCTGCTTTTTCTTTCCTTTTTTCTCTTTTAAAGGATTACTTCCCTCTTTGGTATGCTTACTGCTGTGTGTACTGATGACAGGTAGTTTTATTCCCCCACTTACTCTCCCTTAAGCACCTTAACTATTCTCCTAGGGGATAACTGTCAAATGCAAATCTGGTTATGTTAACATACCTAGTCTTAACCAGGACCTCATTATTTACACTGCTTGGTTTGGAAAGTGGCAGTGTTCTTCCTGGGGGGGACACAAGCCTTTTTTTTTTTTGCATATATAAAGGAAATTTGGAAATGTTTGGTACATTCTTTTAATTTGCAAGTAACTTTAAATCAACAATGAGTGCATAAAATTTTTGGTGTTTGATTTAGGTCAAATTGTGTTTATTGCATCACCTAGACATGGTGCTGTGTGTAGTTCCATTAATATGGTGTGTTTTGTTTGCAGCATTCTGACAGGACTTTTGCAGTTTCCTCATATGCTTTACATGGAAGGACTAAGTATCTTTGGCATTCTAGTGGAATGCAAACTAAACACAAAGTAGAATATTTTCTCATTCTTTCTTACCACAGTCTATTATAACAAAATAGACTTGGGTCTAAATTAAGACTTGGGTCTAAATTAGTTCATCTAACACATTTTCTTCAGGTATGTATGTATGTGTGTATACCTGTTTTCATACCAATACATCCCTTGGAGGAGTAGAACATTATTCATACTTTTACCTGTAGCAAGATGGAAATTTTGTAGATCTGTAAAGTGGCTTTGTAATAGTATGTTTTTGTAATTAATACATTGTTACAGTTGCAGAATGTTCATGTTCTAATTTTTCTTTCTTCTACCATATGGAATGCAAGGAAGCTGTACCTTTTGTAAGATACATACAAAACACACACAACACAGAATTTTCAGTTCCCAGATTTCTGTTTTGTGAAACAGATCTGGTGACTTGAGTTGAGGAGAATGTGCTGTTACAGGGGTTGGTATCTTTTGAGGACATTGCTGTGGACTTCACCTGGGAAGAGTGGCAGGAACTGGATGATGCCCAGAGAACTTTGTACAGAAATGTGATGCTGGAGACTTACAGCAACCTGGTGTCACTGGGTGAGTGAAACTCCTCAGAAAATGTCAGAAAAAACACTTTCTTCTTTTATGGTAAATGTAGGAACCACTTACGAAATTTAATGCTATTTAGTTAAGATTCTGTTCCATAAAGAATTCGAGTCATTCCTCTCCAATGTAAGTTACAAATTGGCCCCATCATTTTATAGCATCTTAAGCCAAGCTCTTGCCATCCTTCCAAGGGCCTGACTCAACAATTTCATAAAGTTCTCTGTTTTTTTCTGTTAAAGTGCACTGCATTACCAAACCTGAAGTGATCTTCAGGTTGGAGCAACAATCAGAGCCATGGATGACAGAAGAATCTCCAAACCTGCACTTACAAGGTCAGCACATACTGGGCACTGAGACTGGGAAGAGTAAAGCCCAGTAGATGTTGGTCATGTCCAGCTGTTTTTACCAATATTTTTGCTAGGCTTCAGACCTGAGAAGAGCTGGAGTGCTTAGAATCTTATGCACTGTATATTCTCCTAAGAGGACTCTCACACTTACACACCCACCTTTAATTTTAATGAATATTTTACATACTTCCCCAAATCTAATCTTTACCTTTTTCTTTTTAGATCTCTTTTCTTTACTGTGAATTTTATCAGTATTCTTGGTAGCTCTCTTTTTCTCCATTATCATGGGTATTTTCCATCAGATTCTTTTATTCCATGTAACTGAATATCTGAAATGGGGTAATATACAGGGAAACAAAATTTATTTTTTATTGTTATGTAGGTTGATAAATCCAAGGTTGAGGGGTCACATCTACTGAGGGTCTTCTTGCTTGTGGAGACTCTCAGAAGAGTCCACAGCTGCTGCAGTGTATCACAAGATGAGAGTGGCAAAAATGTGTCCACGTGCTGTATAAAGCCACCAGTCTACCTCCTGATGACTCATTAAGCCATTAACCCATTTTTCCACGAACAGATTAATCCATTCATGAGAGCATCACCTTCACTATCTAATAACCTTCCAAAAGCCTCACCTTTCAAATACCATAGTTAGATTTCCCACACTCTTCACATGGTTACAGTGATGATCAAGCTTCAATATGAGTTTTGGGGGATGTATACTATGGCATGACATTTATTCGTAAATTTATTTGTATTTTACTATGTTAATTAAACACATTTTAGTTTTATACTTGTACTTAAAATGGCAGCGATCTAAATAATGTCGCTCTTTCACAGATTTTACATTCTGATGTGAGAGAATTAAGAAAATAATATATGTTACATAATCGTATTAGGATCATGAGAGGGCTGGCCCCGTGGCTCACTCAGGAGATTGCAGCACTGGTAGCACTGAGGCCGTGGGTTCGGATCCTATATAGGGATGGCCGGTGCGCTCGCTGGCTGAGCGTGGCACAGACAACACTGTGCCAAGCGTTGCGATCCCCTTGTCAGAAAAAAAAAAAAGAATCATGAGAAATACGTAATCAGAGTGAGAGAGGCAGAAAAATGGGTAGTGAGAATTTAGGAAGGATGGTCAGAAAAGGCAGCTTTAGGAAGATTGTCTACTTGACATGGTGTCAGACATATGATATGTACCCAAGTACAAAATATAGATTTTAAAGTGGACATTACTATTGGAGGTACAAATTTGGAAATTGTGGCTTGTGGTTTTTGAAGACATAGAGGAGATTACTTATAGAGTTGATAAGAAAATGAGAAATGTCCAGAAGGAAGCCTTGTGTACCATGAAGCAGAAATTATGAAGCTGATGAGGACACAGCATACGAGCCTAGAAAGGACTGCCATTGGACATGGAAGAAAAATCACGAGATTGTACATCCCAATGTCAAGTGAACCAAGGGTTTTATATTGAGAGGTTCAGACCTTTTTATGGGGGGGTGGCATTTGAAGTTAGCATTTTCTCCTTCTGTTTGTGAAAATTATTCTAAAACAACAAAGATAATGAAAAGTGTATGCAAGACTTTGTTTTTTATGAAAGCAGGAGACAGCTGTAACTTCACTGCACAAAATAAAAGCCTTTGGAAGCAGTGAATTATAGAGCAGGGCTATGTGCACCAGAAAATGGGGGTAGAATGCTAGATGAACTCAAAAGGGGCTAGAAAAAAATTTAGAAAACTTGTGGGCACAGCCAACATTGAAAAAGAAATGTTTTAGATTTGCAGAAAGGGGATTCCCAGAATGGTAGAACAGAACTTTCTCAGAAACAGAGGGAGAGAAGTTAAATAAGTAATATGTAGGAAGGTTTTGGTATCTAATTTTGGGGAAAGGAGATTATTTATTTGAAAAATCCAAAGATGCCTATAACCATTTCCTACTGAAGAATGAAATCTAAAAAAAGATAGGTGCAACCCACCAACCCCCAGGCCTTGAGGCAGCAGTGCCAACCTGGCATCCCCATGGGATCCAGAACAGGCAAGATCCTGCCCCCAAGAGGCCTGACCTACCAAACCCCAAGCCCTGAAGCAGCAGCACTAACCCAGCAACCCCACGAGTATCCAGGCCAAGTAAGACCAAGCCTTCAAGTGGCCTGACTGACTGACCCTCAGGCACCAAGGCAGCAACAGGCAGTTGAATATCAACAAAATTCCCTGCCAGTGCTGCAGACTCCAAGGTGGAGCAAGTGGACTATGAAAGCCTCTGCCACAATGACTAAACACTAATGGAGAGATACTAGAATTATGAAAAACCAAGATAGTATGACACTACCCACAGAATATAATAATTCTCTATTTCTAGGTCCTATATAACAGGAAGTTCTTGAAATGACTGAGAAAGAATTTTTAGTAACAATTCTAAGGAAATTAAATGAGATAGAAGAATATTCAGCTAGACAACACAATGAAATGAGAAAGTATACAGGACCTGAAAGAAGAAATGTACAGACAAATCAATGTCCTGGAAAAAAATGTAGCAGAGCTTCTGGAGCTGAAGGGTTCACTACTGAAATAAGAAACACAACAGCTTAAACAGCAGGCTAGGACAAGTATAAGAATTTTTGACCTTGAAGATGGCCTGTTTGAAATAACACAGGTGGACAGCAAAAATAATTTTAAAGTTGAAGAAAATCGGAGATAACAGACAACCTTAAGCACTCAAATATCTGAATCATGGGCATGTCAGAAGGGGAGGAAAAAGGAAATAGCATGGAAAACATTCAACAAAGTAATAGTAGAGAACCATCCCAGGTTTAGGGAAAGATACAGATCTTCAGATTCAGGAGGCTCAAAGATCCCCAAACAGATTCAACCCAAAAATATCCTCTCTAAGACATTATATTCAAGTTGGCAAATCACAAAGACAAAGAGAATTTTAAAAGCTGCAAGGGAGAAGTATCAAGTCAACTATAAGTGAGCCCCTATAAGACTAACATCAGACTTTTCATCAGAAACCTTAAAAGCCAGAAGAGAATGGGATAATATATTCAAAATACCAAAAGACAAAGTTTGCCAGCTAAAAATACTTTATGCAGCAAGGGTATCCTTCCAAAATGAAGGGCAAATAGTATATTTCCCAGACAAACAGAAATTGCTGGATTTCACTATCATATGACCAGCTTTACAAGAAATTCTCAAAGGAATACTGTCTGGTATCTGAAAAGCAATCATCACTACCATGAATACTCAAGAAAGAAAAAAACCCACCAGTACAATAAAAATGCTAATAATGAAGATAAAAAGTTTATCTACCGTCCTGAGAAACCAACCAGCTAAGAAGACAAACAGTAAATCCAAAAGAAACAAAACACATTTAAAACATCCAAGCAAAAACCAATAAAATGCCAGGAGTAAATTAACACTTTTCAATAATAACTCAGTGGAAAAGGATTAAATTCCCCACTTGAAAGACACAGAATGACTGACTGGATTGGAAGGATAGATTGTAATCAGCAATCATCCAACAAAGAAAAGCCCAGGTCCAGAAGGCCTCACTGCAGAATTCTATCAAGCCTTTAAAGAATAATTAATACCAATTCTCTACAAACATTAACCAAAAATTGAAACAGAGGCCAATCTCCCAAACTCATTCTTTAAGGAAGCATCATCCTGATATCAAAACCAGACAGAGACAACAACAAAATAGAAAACTACAGGCCAATCTTTGATGCATATAGATGCAAAAATTCTCCAAAAAATACTAGCTAATATAATACAGCAACACATAAAATTATACACCATGATCAAGAGAGATTCATCCTGGAGATGCAAGGTTGGTTCAACATACACAAATCAATAAGTGCTATATACCAAATTAACAAAATGAAAGACAAAAACCATATGATAATCTCTAAGATGCTGAAAAAGGCATTTAACAAAATTCAACATTTGTTTATGATAAAAAGCCTATAAATTGGGTATAGAAGAAAACTGTCTCAACACAATTAAAACCACATGAGAAAACCACTGCCAATATCATCCTGAATTGGGCAAAGTTGAAAACTTTCCCCTTAAGAACAGGAAAGAAATAAGGATGCCCATTCTCTCTACTCCTTTTCAAGATAGTGTTGTAAATATCAACCAGAGAAATCATGGAAGAGAAGGAAATAGAGGGCATCCAGATTGTAATGGATGAAGTCAGACAGTCCCTGTTTCCAGATGATATGATCCTATATACAGGACAGCCTAAAGACTCTACAAAAAAATCTGTTAGAGTTGATAAATGATTTCAGCAAAGTTGCTCTATACAAAATCAACACAAAAAATCAGTAGCATTTCTATACCCCAACAATGAATTAGCAGAAAAAGAAATCAAAAAAGCTAGCCCACCTACAATAGTCACCAGAAAAATAAAATACCTAAGAATAAAGTTAACCATGGATGTGAAAAATCTCTATTGAGAGAATTTAAAGTGGACACAAAAGATGGAAAGATATCCCATGCTCTAGGATTGAAAGAATTAACATTGAAAACGTCCATACTGCTCAAAGTGATCTACAGATTCAATGCAGTCCCCATCAAAATTCCAATTACATTCTTCTCAGAAAGGAAAAAAAAACAGCCCTAACATTCATATGTAATAACAAAACAGCAGAAATAGCCAAAGCTATCCTTAGCAAAAAGCCTAAAGCCAGAGGCATACACTACCTGTCTTTATATTATGAAGCTGTAGTAACCAAAACAGCATGGTACGGGTATTAAAAACAGGCACAGACCAATGGAACAGTAGAGAACCTAGAGATCAACCTGCACGTTTACAGCCTGAACTTTGACAAAGGCACCAAGAACATACATTGGGGAAGTAACTGCCTTTTCAATAGATGGTGCTAATAAAACTGGACTTCCACGTGTAGGAGAATGAAACTAGACCTGTAGCTCATGCCATATACCAAAACCAACTCAAAAATGGATTAAATAATTAAATATGCATCCTAAAGCAATAAAACTCCTTAAAACATAAGGGAAACACTTCAGGAAGTAGGCTAGTGTACAGAGTTTATGAATATGACCCCAAATGCACAAGCAACCAAAGGAAAAATAAGTGGGATTATAGCAAATTAAAAAGCTCTGCAAAGCAAAAGAAATGAGTGTAAAGACAACCAACAGAGTTCGAGAAATTATTTGCAAAACATACATCTGACAAAGGAATAATATCTAGTATGCACAAGGAACTCAAAAAACTTAACAGCAAAAACCCAAGTAACAGAATTTTGAAATGGGAAAAGGAGCTAAACAGGATTTTTAAAGGAAGATATATGAATAGCCAACAGACAGATGGAAAAATCCTCAACATCCCTCAGCATTTGGGAAATGCACATCAAGACCACTCGGAGATATCATCTAACTCCAGTTAGGATGGATAATATCCAAAAGACAATGATAAATGCTGTCAAAGATGCAGAGAGAAAAGAACCCTTCTACACTGGTGGCAGGACTGCAAAATGGTGTGGTATTTGTGGAAGATGGTATGGAGGCTCCTCAAATAATTACAGATAGGTCTTCCTTATGACCCAGCTATTCCACTTCTGGTTATATACCCAGAGAAGTGAAGATCATCGTGTCAAAGGGATACCTGAACTCCCATGTTCATTTCAGTGCTATTTACAATATCCAAGAGTTGGAACCAGCCTAAATGCCCATCATCAGATGAGTGGATAAGGAAAATGTGGTATATATACACACCGAAGTACTACTCTGCTGTAAAGTGAAATGAAATTCTACCATTCACAGCAACCTGAATGGAGTTAGAGAAAATTATGTTAAGTGAAATAAGCCAGGCACAGAAACAGAAATACATGTTCTCACTTATAATTGTAAGCTAGTAAAAGTAAATATGCAAACAAGTAAATGGTGTTGAGAAACAACAAACACAAAAATCCCTTGAAGTTGTTAAGACGTGTGAACAAATATAATGTTTATTATGGGGTAATGGGGAGTGGGAAGGGGAGAGGAGGAATTGGTCAAGGGACATGAAAATCAACTACATTGTATATTTATAAGACAAAAACAAAGAATGTGTATTGATCTGAAGTACTCAAAAAGTACTGTAGAGTGTATTACAATTGAAATACAGAAGACTAAACATACATCCTGCAGTATGTAGATAGACTGCCCTAGGTCTAACAGGGAGACGGAGTGTGGATGAAGGTGAAAGGGAGTGGAGCAGGGAACAAAAAGAAAAAGACATAGGTGTAACATCCTGCACCTAAGCAAAATTTGTTTAAGAGACAGAAGACTGGCTTCCTCCTGAGCCTGAAATTAGCTGATCCAGGGAAACATTACCACCTGCAAAGCAGAGAAAGAAGGGACAAAGTGCTACACAATACCCACTGCTGTTATAAGAATGAAATAGGGGGAAAAAACAGTGTAAACAAATGGCAGGTGGTAAGCGCCTGGTTGAAAACTATGACAAGGCAGTAGGGGAAATTTTACCAAATATTTTTTAGGAATCAAAAATAAGTTAGTGCAAAACATAATTGAACATTAGAAAACATATAAGTACAATTTATTACATTAATGCAGTATGTAGGAAAAATATATATGTATATAACCATATCCATTATTAAATTTTATATATTTCTATGCCATGAGGGTATGAAGAAACTTCATCTTTACATGCACATTCCATAAGCAATATTTATGTATGATTCATGGATTTGTCTTTTTTCTTATTTCAGATGTTCTGATTGCCAAAGGTCTAAATACCAAAAGCCAAGAAGGCCATGGAACATATTTGTGGCAAGACATAATTCCTAACAGCAATATATCTGCTGAGGAGAGAGTTGAGTTAGAAAAAACATTTTATCTGAGCTCAAACCAGGTTTCAAATCCAGTTATAAATGGTGAGATCCATTCAAGGATGAGGTGTAAATTGTTTAATATATGTTGGACTGCACTTCCTCCTAGAGATCATGATTGGATGCCTGCTGGAGAGAAATCTGATGATGATAATATAACTTGGAATTTGTGCCAACAGTGTGAGCTGCTTAATCAGCATTCCAAGATTCAAGCTGGACAGCAACATTTTAAATATAGAAGAGAAGGGAAAGATTTCAACACAGAGCCAATATTTTTGTCACATATGATGGTTTATATGGGAGAGACCTCCTATAAATTTGATTATGGGAAAGCCTTTCATAAGTCTGCTGTTTTTCCCCAAAAGAAAACTCTAATATTACAGAAAAAAATCCAATGTGGTATATGTTGGACAATGTTCTGTAAAATCTCTAAACTGATTGAACGTGAGAAGACAAACACAGCAGACCAACCCTATAAATATAGTGAATGCAACAAATCATTCATGAAGAAGTTATCTCTTACAATCCATAAGAGGATATCGAGAGGGGAGAAGCTATATATGTGTGAAGACTGTGGAAAACCCTTTCACCAAAAGTCACTTCTCAGCAAGCATCAGAGAATTCACTCTAGGGAGAAAAAATATGAATATAATAACTTAGACTTCAACAAACATAAGGAAAATCATGTACAAAAAAGGATCTATGAATGTAATGAATGGGTAAAAACGTTTCAGCAGAAGTCAAGCCTCAGTAGGCATCATAGAACTCACGTTGGTGAGAAACCATATGAATGTAAAGACTGTGGAAAGTCTTTCTACTATATATCAGACCTCACAGTACATCAGAGAACTCACACAGGTGAAAAACCATATGAATGTCGTGAATGTGGAAAAGCCTTTCAGAGGAATTCACACCTCAGCAGGCATCAGAGGACTCACGTAGGTGAGAAACCATATGAATGTAAAGACTGTGGAAAGTCTTTCTACTATATATCAGACCTCACAGTACATCAGAGAACTCACACAGGTGAGAAACCACATGAATGTAAAGACTGTGGAAAGTCTTTCTACTCCAAGTCACAACTCAGTGTACATCAAAGGACTCACACGGGTGAGAAACGATATGAATGTAAAGAATGTAGAAAATCTTTCTACCATAAATCACACCTCAGGATACATCAAAGAACTCACACAGGTGAGAAACCATATGAATGTAAAGACTGTGGAAAGTCTTTCTACTATAAATCAGACCTCACAATACATCAGAGAACTCACACAGGTGAGAAACCATATGAATGTAAAGACTGTGGAAAGTCTTTCTACTCTAAGTCACAACTCAGTGTACATCAAAGGACTCACACGGGTGAGAAGCCATATGAATGTAAAGAATGTAGAAAGTCTTTCTACGTTAAATCACAACTCAGTGTACATCAAAGAACTCACACAGGTGAGAAGCCATATGAATGTAAAGACTGTGGAAAGTCTTTCTACTCTAAGTCAAAACTCATTGTACATCAGAGAACTCACACAAGTGAGAAACCATATGAATGTCGTGAATGTAGAAAAGCGTTTAAGAGTAAGTCAGATCTCAGCAGGCATCAGAGAACTCACACAGGTGAGAAACCATATGAATGTAAAGATTGTGGAAAGTCTTTCTACTATAAATCAGACCTCACAGTACATCAGAGAACTCACACAGGTGAGAAACCATATGAATGTAGTGAATGTGGAAAAGCCTTTAAGAGTAAGTCACAACTCTGCAAACATCAAAGGACTCACATAGGTGAGAAACCATATGAATGTAAAGACTGTGGAAAGTCTTTCTACTGTATATCAGACCTCACAGTACATCAGAGAACTCACACAGGTGAGAAATCATATGAATGTAGTGAATGTGGAAAAGCCTTTCAGAGGAATTCACACCTCAGCAGGCATCAGAGAACTCACATAGATGAGAAACCATATGAATGTAGTGAATGTAGAAAAGCGTTTAGGAGTAAGTCATATCTCAGCAGGCATCAGAGAACTCACATAGGTGAGAAACCATATGAATGTAAAGACTGTGGAAAGTCTTTCTACTATAAATCAGACCTCACAGTACATCAGAGAACTCACACAGGTGAGAAATCATATGAATGTAGTGAATGTGGAAAAGCCTTTCAGAGGAATTCACACCTCAGCAGGCATCAGAGAACTCACATAGGTGATAAACCATATGAATGTAGTAAATGTTGAAGATCCTTTCATGAGAAGTTAAAATTCAGCATGCATCAGAGAATTCACACAGGTGAGAGACCATATGAATGTAAAGAATGTATGAAAACTTTCTAAAGTCAGACTTCAGTGTATATTACTTACACAGGTGAGAACTATGTGAATGTAAATATTGTAGAAAACCTTTCTGCCCCAAATCACACATCTATAGACATACAAATTCTCA